TGAGCTACAGGAATCTGTGATGTACCGAGCACATGGATGTGGATGCTGCCTGAGAGCTACGCTTTGAAAAGCACAGGCTTAAATCCTCAACAAGGAGAAGACTGACCCACTAGCTTTTAAGTATTTCCCTGATTTCCTGCCGAAATAGTACAATCTGGCTGAACAGTGAGCTGTGGAAGAGATGAGTTGAGGCAATGCTTCAAAGACATGCTGAACAAACTAAAAAGCAAGTTAAAGCACCATGACATTGCTTCCAAAGCTGGGGACTGGCAGCAGCTGACAGTCGTGCTGACACCAGTGTCACCTTTGAATACAAAGAACACTGGGTTTTTTGACTTATTTCAGCAGGGATAAAACGTTAGGGAGGAAAATAGTCCCCTAACTAGCTTCCTCTTCTGAAGCATCAGTGTAGAAAGATAATACCGTAGACTCATGTATCAACTTACCACAAGACAGTTCATTTAAATCATCTGCCCCAAGGCAAGTGGTGCATTTCTTGAAATTCTTTGAATGTTGAAAAAGGTAGTCTTAAAAAGTATATTTTAATTTCTCTCTGGCTTAGCAATATTTCCTTCTCAGCATATTAGAAGTTCAGGTGAAATACTAGTGAACACAGATGGAAGCAAGAACCTGGTGGCCAGATGATGAGGACAAGGAAAATCCCATTCCCCTGTGACACTGAGTTGCATTTGATTTTTAATTTTTAGTAGAAAAATGTGTGCATATTAATAGGGTACTGAGCACTTAAACACATGAAAACATTGTATAATGTTTAAATCAGGGTAAGCATTTATGTTTCCTCAAGTATATTGTCCTTGGATAGAGGAATCATCAGATATTAAATTGAAAGACCAGGCACTACAGTTTATCTAAAAGGCCAAGAAATGATTGTACTTGAACTTATAAAAAGCATGACATCTAGATTTTGACAGTTCCTCAAGCATTCACTGAAGAGTGTCTTCCTCCTTATACTCTTGGAAAGACTGGCCTCGGGCTGGTCCATTACTAGAGCTTGGATTTGTACTTTCCTTGGCTTCTCAAGGAACAGACACAGCTGTTGTTTCTGTATATTCAGCATTTAGCACATTATCTAATATGTAAAAGATATTCATTCACTGCTGTCAAATAATGGAAAAAATATGTCTCGTAGAGGACCGACCAAGGGGAATCTAGAATTAAATGGGAGGAAAACAAAAGTGTGCCTCCAGGTGCTTTCCTTCTTTTTTCTTTAAAATTCCAAGGACCTAATAATCGTTCCCATCCAAAGAAGGGGAAGTGGTATGGAGCTTCTTTAGGCCAGCATAAACAGCAGTGAGTAACAACCAACAACCCACAAGTGTTCCCCGAATGTTGGAGCTTTTCAATAGGTAAGACCAAGTCCAAGACGGCCTGCTGCAATTAAGCATGTGGAGTAAATAGCAATAACTGCTATACCTGATCCTTTACTTGAATTATTCCATTTAATCCATGTGACAATCCTGAGACAGGAATTATTACTTGTAAAGGATTATGCTCAGACTTGCCTGACATTGCATCCCCAGTCACCATCTAGCATTTTAATCAATAAACGAATGAGCCAGTGAGCCCACACACTTACAGGTGAAGAAACTGAGGCTTGACGTAGGACTGGGGCTGTACCTGAATAGCTGCTTTGCTTTTCCAGATGTGTACCAGGTACCGCATACTCAGGTTCAGTATCTGTGCTGCTGTGGGTTATTACCTTACTCGGCACTCAGTGTTACCTCTGAGTCTGTCAGCTGTAAATCTTAGCATCCAGGAGGGGCGTCCCATTTAATATTAATAATATGTGCTCACTCAGTAGCAGACCCTTCCAAAATGAGCAAATAAAACCACTTTAAAGCATTTCAAAATAGTTATTTACATTAAAGGTAAAATAATCATGCACCCTGGAATTCTATCCCAATGGCCTTTATAAATGTATTCAACATGACTATTACTGTTGGTACAAGAATAAGTGTGTTTGCCTCCCCAAAAATCCACATCCTCATCCCTGAAATTTGTAAATATGACCTTACTTAGAAACAAAAATCTTCACAGATGTGATTAAACGTCCTAAAGATCATCTGGATTACCCAGGTAATTATGTTAATCCAGGGCCAAGTGCCTTTACATGAGCAGAAGGCCCCATGAAGACAACCAGAGCACAGTGACACAGAGTACAGCCATAAACCAAGGGACACCTGGAGCCACCAGGACCTGAAAGAAGCCAGGAAACTTCAGGAGGAATACAGCCTGCCAGGTCTTGATTGTGGACTCCTGGTTTCAGGAACTATGAGAGAAGAAAGTTTCGGGTTTTTTTTTTTTTTTTTTTGCTTTTTTTCAGTGCCGGGGTCTTACACACGCTAATAAAGTGCTCTATCACTGAGCTGCCATAATGTTTGGTTTAGTAAGGTACCAAATTTCGGATAATTTATTATGGTACCCCTAGAAAACTGATACACAGTCCAAATAAGAAAAACTGAATCAAATGTAGATGTATTATTTACTAAAATCATAAAAGTTAGCTGGGCCTCGTGGTGCATGCCTGTAATCCCAGCACTCAGGAGGCTGAGGCAGGAGGATCGTTGCAAGTTTGAGACCAGCCCAGGCTACAAAATGAGCCTAAACTGCATAGTAGCAAGACCCTGTTTCAAAAGGAAAAAAATAAAATAAAATTCAAACTCAAGTATTTAACCAAAATGTTCGACCTATTAAGCCATAGACGACCTATGCATAGATCACTTGAACATAAATGTTCACATCATTTGAGAGACAGAATTTTACTACAGACTTGTATTTTGATTTCCTCAAAGATAGCAAACCTTGTCTCTTTTCTAAGATCACACCACTCTCATCCATCATTCTGAAACAATAAGGCATTCAATTGTCCATGACAGTTTTTCCAAGTGCAATATTAGAGCAAAGCAGAGATTACATAGAGATAAATGCACATTACAGTCGCCCCTGAATAAGCCCTTCTTGTCTTATTTATTATGACCTTGCATAGGCATTCATTCAAATGCAGTCAGCAAACACTTATTGTGCATCTAGCAGGTGCCAGGCACTCTTCTAGGTGCTGAGCAGGCAAAGATGAATCAGATATAGCTCTTGCAGTTTAGCTGAGACAGCCAAAGTCAATGGAGACAAGTAGGAATTTGATAAGATGCCTGTGATGGGTGGGAAAGTGCAGGTGTGGGGAACAAAAATAGGAGGTGCCACTCACTCAGGGGACCGAGCAAGAACTGGAGGGGGACACCTTGAAAGTTTGGTTAGCAGGATTAGCAGTGGTGACACACTTAGCAGGAGCAGCTGGAAATGTAGAGGTTTAAGAACCCACCAGAGGGTCACAGTGTCTGACCTGGAGGATTTGCTTGTAAAAAAGTTATAGAGGCAAACAGGGCCATGACTGCAAAGGACCTCGGTGAGGTATATAAATTTTATCCTTAAAACAACTGATAGCTATTACAGGCTTAACACCCATCACTGAGTAATACCATCAGACTGCTTTTAGGGAAGGTGGCCCTGCTGGTGTGTGACGCTTGACCAGAGTGAGACCTAGCTCAGTGAGGGTACAACTCAGTGATAAACTGGTTACACAGTGTGAGGGAGCCTTGGTTCCATACCTAGCACCACTATGGAGGGAAAAGAATGGAGCATGAATAGCCAGGAAAACCAGGTAACCGGCTGGTGTAGAAATTAGCGGACCTTAGTTAGGAAAGGTATGCTCAGCAAGAGGATTTAAGTCTTGAGAGAATATTAACAGGACAGTTTTCAGGACCAGATATGGGAGGTGAAGGAAGATCTGGACTCAGAAATTATTCTTTCTGGTCTTTGAACTCCTGAAAGATTAACTATAGTCTTTTTATTCATCTCAATGCCAGCTCAGCCACTTGTACAAAATAAGTCCTCAATTTATTAGCAGTTCAATCAAATTTCCCAGGTTTCTATTAGAAACCAAGGTTCCAGGTACTTTCCACGGTGTTCCTGGCACACCCTTCACTTTCAAGTATATAAAGCTGCTTTGAGAGCTAATTTATGGCTCTCAGAAGGGCCTCCTGTTTTTGTTCGTCTGCCCATTTAGTGGGTTCTTACTGGATTAATGGCCTGGTGCATGAATCACGATGACTCTCTGCACAGAACTGAGTGCTGAATTGAGAGCTGACAGGAGGTTTCAGCTCTCTCTGATCTCTGATGCTGCCTTGAGCCCCAAGCAAAGGTCAGTCATGGTTGAGGTCCCCCCATTCCACCTGCCCCTCCCCCAGGCCTCTCCAAGGCATCTGAAACATACATATTTATGCTCATTCTGCAGAAAGGCCACTGTTCATTTCTCTCTCACTGTAGCCTCTGAAGAAATTCCGACAGCTCTACTGATTGAAGCCTTTTTAAATCATTTTTTGACTGAGTGGCTCAGCAAATGAAGCATTATGCTTGCGGAGTGCTAGATGCCAGCGAATAGCAGAGTCGCTTCCTGAAGTCTCCAGTGTGCTACTGCACCCCCAACAAGAGGACAGGGGAGAACACAGGAGCACATCTACAGAGGGGCAGCAAGGCTGCACAGTACAGACCAGTACGAGGGAAGATGACTTGGGGCCCAGAAGGGCAAGAAAGCCTTGTAGAGGAAGTAACTTGAATTGGGATTTAAGTTAGCATTCCGCCAACATTTTGGGGAAGCACCATGGGCATGTGGGCCAAATGATCGAATTATATGTTATGAGTGGCATGATATTTACCACCCCTGAGCCCTGCCCACCAGGTACCAGAAGGTCCAAAACGCAGTGCCCTAGATTGCACATTTCCAAATATTCCCCAAAGGACAGTACTTCCTGGGTGTGAGCCACAAATGGACAGCAAAGGCAATGTGAGGTGATACAAATGGAAGACAGAGGGCACGTAAGACTCCTTTGCAGACCACTGACACAGCAGCAGCACCACAGTACAGATAGGCTAGGAATGGCATATCCAACAGCTGAGGCTGTGGTTTATCGCAAAGTGCTACTTACCACGTTCAAAGGACTCCAGACTCCCCATTAAACACAAATGTCAGGCCAATTAACCAAAGGCATGCAGTGGGTGGGATGTGAGCTTTGAACTTGAACCTAATTTGAAATACCAGTCTCACCACTTCCTGGCTCTTTCCCTGGGTGAGTGATTTCTGTTCTTCAGCCAGCAATATCTTCCAAATAAAGACCATAGTCCTCCATGATGTATGATCCATGAGGTGAAAGACAGCTGCATTTACTACCACTGTGGTATATGTATACGATGTATAGGGATGTTTATGAAGTGCCAGGTTCACTGTGGTACCCAAAGATTTGCTATGAGTGTTTGTAGATTGAAGATTTTACCCTGTAATGAAAGCATGAAGAAATAGAGTCTTTTTAGAGGCATCCACACATACCTCAGATGATCACGTTTGAGCTATATTGTTCAATATCTTCCTTTCCTTCATTAGTACGTGTTTGCAGTACACAATGATTCATTTATGATGGGGAGTTTGTGTATATATAAAATACATCTTAATTCTTTTTTCTTCTCTTTCCTTTCCCATCCCTCCCCTGTTCCCTCCAACTTTTGTTCCCTTCCCATTTGCAAAAGCTCTATTTCCAGTTTTTTCAGTTCTTTCTTTATCCCTTTCCCTGCCCTCCTTCCTCCATCTTTCACCTCGTTTCCCTTCTCATTTGAAAATTATCTCCTACTTCCTATTATTTTTCACTCTGCTTTGTATTTATATTTTGGGTTTCTCATGTAAGAGAAACCATGCGATATTTAAACCTGTGTGCCTGATTTATTTCACTTAACACAGGTTTTGAGGGGCATCCGTTACCTACAATGCCTTGTTCATTGTTCAACACCTTCTATGTGCCAAATACTGTTAACTTATTTAACTCAGTATCTGTTCTCTGAGGCAGACTCTAATCATTTGTAGATATGTAAGTGACATTCAGGGTCATTAAATAAGTTGCCTAATATAGATAAAAATTAACCAATCCTTATGTCACATTTTTCACAAACAGTAATTTGAGATGAATCATATATTCAAGCATAAGAGTAAAATTATTAGATTTCTAAAAAATAAGGCAGTGCTTTTGCAATGTTGACCTAGGGAAAAATCTCTCAGGGAAAAAAAAACAAGTACACTAATTTTAAAAGAAAAAAATGATACACTAGACTTCAGGAAAATTAAAATCTTCTGTTCATCCGTTAATACTTTTAAAAATGACTATTTGTAGACAGAACAACAAAAGCATTAACTGTAAAAGCAAAATTTGATTTGGCTTCATCAATATTCTACTCTGACAGACACAATTAAGCAAATGAAAAGGTAAACCATAGTCTGGGAGAAAATTTTGTAACCCATATATCTAACAAAAGACTTGTTTCCAGAATGTGTATGCACCTCCTGTATGTCAATTAAAAATGATAAAAAGCTCAGTTAAACATATGAGCAAAAGACAAGTAGAAACTTCATACAAGATGACATAAGAACACTTTTGAAGTCATCATAAAAATGGATACAAAAACCACAATGCAACATTATCATCAAAATAACTTTTATCAAATCATCAAAACATTGTAAAGGCCAATAGCACAAGCATTGGTGAGAATTGGAGCAAATGAGAAGTTTTGTACATTGCCTTTGTGCTTTCATATATTACGTTCAGACGTAGGTTCAAATGTAAAGTGTAAGGCTTGCTTCAGAAAAAACTGTTGGCAGTTACAAGTTACACCTAAGTTTCAACACATAGTTCTTCTAGGTATTTGTTATCCACATATGGAAGAAAGAATCTAGACATATATCTCTGGGCCTGTACTAAAATCAAACCAAAATAGATCAGCAACCTAGATATTAAAACAAACAGTGAACCTGCTGAAAGATAAAATAGGCAAAGCTTTTGAAGACACGGGCATGGCAAGGACTTCCTGAACTGAGTCCCAATCGCACAAGAACCAGCAAAAACAGGACTGTATCAAATTAAAAATCTTCTGCCTAGCAAAGGAAACAATAAAGCAAAGACACAGTCTGCAAAATGGCAAAACAATTTTACCAGCTACTCAGAAGACTAATATCTAGACTACATAAAGAACTAAAAAAAAATGGATCCCCCAAATAAAAGACACAATCAAGAAATGGACAAATGAAATGAACAGACACTGCTCCAAAAAAGTACTACTAACCAGTATGCCTGTAGAGAAATGGTCAGCGTATTTGGCCATTAGAGAAATGCAAATTGGAACAGCGTTGAGATTCCATCTTCATTCCAGAAAGAATGGCTGCATCAAGAACTCAAAAACAAATGCTGGTGAGGTTATGGGGAAGAAAGAACACTTCTTCACTCTTGATGGGAATGTAAGCCAGTACAACCACTATGAAAATTAATATAGGGACTCCTCAAAACAATGAAAAATAAAAACTCCATTTGACTCAGCTCTCTAAAGACATCATATCACAGTGTTACATGTGTACTTATGTGTATAGCAGCACACCTCTGAATAGCTAAACCATTTTAATAACTAACTCTTGAAAGCAGATATAGAAAAAATAATGTATATGTATATACGTTTACATATGCCCATATATATACACACACACATATACATATACTGAATAATAGAGGATAACTAAAGAGTCATTTGTAGGAAAATGGATGTGCCTTGAGACCATAATGTTAAATGGAATAAATCAGACACAAAAAGTTAAGTATTATGTAGTTTCTCTTATATAAATCTAATATATGTATGTGTGTATATTATATACATATATGTGTATATATAATTTAAAATGCAAATTTGGGCCAGGAATATAGCTAAGCAGTGCAGTTCCTCCCTGGTGAGTGTGAGCTCCTAAGTTTAAGTCCCTCCAAAAAAAGCAAAATAAGCCAGATGTGGTGGCACATGCCTATAATTCCAGCACTCAGGAAGCTAAAGCAGGAGAATTACCATTAGTTTAAGGCCAGTTTGAACATCGTAGTGAGGACCTTGTCTCAAAAACAAGTAACAGATGATAGGAGCTAGGGAGATAGAATTTGTGGGGCTGGAAAAGGGTTTTGGGAGTGAGGTATACAGTCAGGCAAGAAGGACAAAGGGAGGTAACAATGATCCAGATTACCAATTCCTCAAGATGACTGTAAGTATTATTATGATAGAAAACATGCACTTACCAAAAGAGAAACTAAAAAATTAGGGTTAGGGTTAGACATGAAAGTACACATCTAGGGGGCTGGGGGTTTAGCTCAGCGGCATAAGCACCTGCCTTGCAAGCAGGCATTCGTGAGTTTGATCCCTGGTACCAATAAAAAGGAAAAAGACAAAAAAAAAAAAAGTACACATCTATTAGCTTTATATGAAAACATTTATTGCAAGTTTATAATAGAAAATAACCAAAAATAACACAAATTTCCATCAATAGGAAGACTGATAAATAAATTGTGATAAATCTTTAGGATATAGTACTACTTGTCAACTGAAAAAAGAATGAACTACTAATACCTGGATCTCACAATCCAGGATGGATCTCACAATCATGATGTTGTGGTGAAGAAGTCAGATTCAAAAGAATTCACGTTGTACGATTCCATTTATATGAAGTTTACAAGTGAATCCGTGGCAGCAGAACACACACCACCATGCGGATGGGAATTAATCAGAAGGAAAACTGCGGATGTGGGAAGGTCCCTTGTTTGTCTGGGCTTGGGTAGCGTCGTCATACACATGTGTTAAAACCTATGAGGAAGACAGACTCTCTGCTTTCACCGTACGCAAACCTTTATCCAAGAGGAGAGAGCAGAAGGGTTTGAAAGAGATCCTGCGTCTGCCCTGCCGTGGCTGTGTGCTGTGGTCGTGAGAGGCGTGTCCAGCAAGAGCTCCCACCTTAACCCTGCAGAGCGACTGGTCAGGAACTTATGCCTCTTTTCTTTCTCTTGCAAGAACTACAAAGTTAACATTTTATGAAATACTAAGTTCTGAACAAGTTTCCAAGGGAGTTAATGAAGATAGGACATTTGTTGACAGTTTTCCCATCACCCAGTGGCCTCTAATGATTTTAATACAGCGGGAAGAAACTCCCAACCTACAGGAGTTCATGTTCTCTAAAGCCGAAGAATGAACTTTAGGATCAATGGATGAAAAGAGCAGAATATATTTACTGAGAGAAAGACAGCTTCTGTCTGAGAGAGACGCGGAATGGGTCCCAAATGGGCTGCCAAGGAATTTTGGTGATTGTAGACAGTCATTTAATCATCAACACAAGCAAGGGTTGGCGCAATTCTCCACCTCAAAAAGTTCCCCAAAACTATGTGTTTGCTATCCTTTGCCTCCAGAGCGGCCCACGTTAAAGCCATGTTTTAAATGCTTGGTCCCTTGCCTGGAGTACTCCTGGGAGATGGGGCCTTATAAGAGGTTTCAGGGGCGTCCCCCAAGAGGAAACTATGGGGCATTCGCCTCTTCCTTTCTTCCCTCCCTTTCACTTCCCACCAATGAAGGAAGGAGCTTTGCCCCACTATATGCTCCCTGCCAGAACCCACTGCCACAGAGCCACAGCAACAGGGCCCGTGATCAACAGGGCCTGAAACTGAAATCTGCAGAACCCTGAGCCCAAATCAACCTTTTCTCTGTGTAGATGAATTTACCTCAGCTAGTTGTTACAGTGATGGAAAGCTAACACAATGGTCGATCATATCTCCTCACTCAGGCCCTAGAAAATCACTGATCTGCTTCCAGTTACTATCACTTTAAATATGACTAAAATTTCAAGTGCTATTACACAGGGGTTTATATGGGGTGGAGCTTCTGGTAATTGAGTTCTTTCTCTTAATATTTTTCGAGATGCATTCATTCACTGTGCTCCCTACATTGCTGTTTCCTTTTTATTTTGGGGAGGTTTTCTGTGGTTTGGATATGCTATACTTTGTACATTCAATGAGATATTTGAAATGTTTCCAATTGGAACTATTATGAATAATGCTGTTATGAACCTTCATGTACTATTTTGTGTGTGTGTGTGTGTGTGTGTGTGTGTGTGTGTGTGTGTGCCATACACCAAGGTAGAATTTCTGGATTGGATGAATCTGATTTTATAATGTAATAGTGTTGTGTTTGCCAGTTACTATACCATTTGCGTTTCCATCAGCAATGCAGGGTTCCACTGCAACATATCTTTGCCAACACTTAGTAGTATGACTCTATCTATTCTAGTACATAATAATATTTTGGGTGACTTTTTCTGACCTGTGACTTACTTTTATTTTTTTTCTCAAATCCGGGTAACTTTTGATATATTTCTTATGCCTAGTAAGTTGAGAATTTTTCTATGTGCTTATGAAAAGCTTTAATCAAGTATTTA